TTTAGGAATATGCATGATAGAAGAGAACATTCGACAGAAAAGATATAACTTGAGACGAAAGGTGTAGAAAGTAATCGTAGCTCTAAGCATAAAATAGTTCATATAAGAACTGATATCAGGAGGGGACAACATATCTAGAAGTTGATAACAAGCGAGAAAAGGTGGTTGAACACCTTATGACAGTAAGGGGGTTTCGCCCAAAATGGTTCAGAATGAAAAGTTTTTTTTTTTTTTAAAGGAGAGAGGGTGGTTGGCAAGTAACATTCATAGCAGAATACTCATCTATATCCTCGACATTTCCCTGATCGAATAACCCAGGATCATTCACATTTAGTGGCAGAGAGGGATTGGCATCGTAGGTGTAATCATTGAGACCTGCTGGGGTAAGATCTGTGAGCTTGGTGACAGGGATGGCGCAGATATCACGGGGATGATATGGAACAATACAAAATGCTGCAAAACATAGCTTTGAGACTGACCCATCCAATTCTGACAGAATATATGATCCCCCCTGTGTCCTCTTGAGAACAACCATCAGTCCGTAATATCCGGGCTTCGTTTTGCTGCCTACATCTTTGCTGAAGTGAGAGTTCTGGACTAGCACAAGAGAGCTGGGGTCCAGATCAAAATCCCATATGGTATTCAAGTGTTTGTTGTTGTACTCTTGTATTGATGCATATCTAGCTTTGAGAACCATATCTTTGACTCAACTGAGGTCTTGCAGACGTTTCTGGAGTTGAGTTGCCCGGTAAGCGATGAGGTTGGTAGTGGAGATAGGTTTGGTGAGGACTGGGGCAAGGTACATAGCTTCTGCGAGGTTGAAAGGAAGAAGCGGTTTGAGCCCGTGAGCTATAAAGTACAGTGAGTAACCAGTGGATTTCTGGATAGATACTCATTCTGCCCAAAAGACAGCTGGGGCAACATTTGTCCACTGATTCTCTACACCCTCTGCTGCCTTAACGAGTGCCTTGCAAATGTCAAAATGTCTTCTCTCAACCAAACTGTTGGCTTGGGAGTTGTACAGCAATATGCGGATGTGGTTGATTAGATAACATGTTGCAAGGAAATCGACGGCTTGGATGAAGGTGGGTCCATTATCTGTTACAAGTTCTTCAACAGCGCCCCACCTACAGAGAATGTCTTGGAATATAAAGGTGGCTAGGGATTGAGCGTTCTCTGCACAGAGCATATGCCATTCTGGGTAAGAAGATAAAGAGCAATGTGCATGAACAATATAACGAAAACCATTTGCCCTTGGCATGAACATGGTATCGATGTATACCTTCCGAAATAGCGATAGAGGGATAGCGACAGTGGGGGGGATATGGAAGTGATGTGTTAATCGGGTCTGACACTCGTGACAGGTTTGGATAAACCATCACATGTCCTGTTCAAGCTGTGGCCACCAGAACCATTCTACAAGACGGGTATGAATGGTGAAGATACCTTTGTGGCCCAATTCATCATGTGCTTGTTGAATGAGCTCGTACCGTTTCCCCTCTGGGATGATGAGCTTATGCTGGTTTTTCGGATCCTTCTTCCACAACTTGTTACCCCGGACGAAGAAACCAGCTGCTTTGTGAATGAACCGTTTGAAATTATTCTCTGACATTTCCAAAGGGCGTTTGAGGTTGTCGAGGAATGATTGGATGTGCCAAAGTTCAATATCAAGGATTTTTGCCTTCTCAGAGCGAGGGATGGAAGGAGGACATGACATGGGAGGTATGTTGAGCATATCTGCGAAGTTTTTGATTGTGGGCAATGCCGAATGATGTGAAAGTAGTGTGGGGGACCCAAGGGAGCACAGCTGAGACTGGATTGTTGACCTTTCATTGATGATTTCGATAGAGAAGGTGTTTGTGGTGTATATCCAATCGAGATCATTACCACATTTGTTAGGAACCATGGGTGAGTAAAGTGATTGTTGAGACAATTTTGGAGCGGTAGAATGGAGCTGAGGTTGGGCCAATGGTGAGGTGTTGAGAGAAAGTGGTTGTGGAGGAAAGGAAGTGGTGTGGGCAAGTCTGACAGCAGTATCTATCCATTGCTCGTAATCCTCATCAGAAACTGGATCTTCTGGGGTGCGGGGGCAACAAGACAGACCATCCGGGCCGTGCTCTCATCCAGGAACATGCCTAAGACAGAAGTCAAAGAGGAGTATAGCCAAGATCCATTGGTTTACAGCCGCATTAGGCTGTACATCAGGGTTGTTGATCATACCCTTAATATACTTAG